GTGCTACTTCTGTAACAAGTTGCCATAAGGAAAGAAATGGTTTCTTCACCAAAAAAAAGTACAAGAGCATTGAAATCTCATAACAGCAAGCTTTACTACATACGGTGACCACAGCCCACACACCTCAGCACCAACAGGACACGGTTTTTGCCTCCTGGCCTTAGAGTCAGCAGGCGTACTGTGCCACCCCTTGGTGCTGAGGTTCTCCTCCTTGCTGTTTGGGTGCTTGGTGGAAGGCTTCTTGGGGCCTGAAGGATCGAGCATGTGTTGTGTCACCTCAAAAGGTGGTAAGCGTATTCATTCCCCTGCATAAAGCTTTGTAAAAGCAGAAATAGAGAACTTTCTAGATAAATTACCATATATAGGCTTTCTGCAGGATTCCCCGGCACATTTGCTTAGTGACTCCCAATTACTTCACTAACACTGTAGTGCTTGTTCTCACATTGACATCACCGGAGAGATATTTATTCCAGCACAAGATGTTTGCTGTGTAGAATATGCCCAATTTTGTTTTACAAAAGCACATTATTACAGCTCATTTTTCATTTCCATCCAAAGATGTATTGTCCGTGGTATTGCATACTCTTAGGGAAAGAAACAACACAAAACCACCTCCTGCAATCTCCTTTTCTTTTCCTTCTAAAGAAGCACTCCCGTTCACATGCATTCCAGTAAATATACATTCCAGTTCAGTAATACAAGAATAACACCCACAGTGTGCATTGTGACTCTGGTACTGGAGACAAGCTATAAAACCTCTGTAACGTGAGACTGACTGTATCAAGTCAAACCAAAATCTATCCAGCCAAATACCGTGCTTCTAACCATGGCCACTACCAGATGCCCAGAGGAGAAGAACAAATAAAAAATGCAGTAACGTTTTTCAATATCCTTATCCCACCCCAATCTCCGGTGAATTTCAGCTCAGGATGCTCTGACTTGATATTATTCTGAGCTGATATCCTTGTATTTAACAGCTCCCTTGGGATTTTCTTTATTGTATTCATTCAATTGTTTTATCAACCATGACATATATGGCGAAGATCTTTACATACGCATTTCGAGAATTATTACCTTTCATTCTGAATCTCTGTGGTGTTAGCAGTTCATGCTTCCTATTTGACGCCGCAAAGGAAAAAGCAGTCATTTTCTGTCTTCTCCATGCAGTTCCGTCATACCTGCCTCCATCATTTCTGTGGTGCATTCTGTGATCTTCCCAGAGAATACTCTCCTTTATTTCACTCACCTTGGACTGAAGTGGTTATTTTCCCTCAATGACCGTGATGACTGACCAACAAATTAGAAAGCAGCCATGGATAATAGATCCTACTACTCTGTCCTCTCTGAAGTGAAGGCAAAAATACAACTCAATGATTTATTTCGGCCTTTTGGAGCATGTTTCACATGGGGTGGATGTGTGTGGAAGTGCTTTATCTCAGGCATCCCAAAGGCTACACCCATTCAGAAAAGCAGAATTCTGTTCAGAATTCCCCAGCATTCCCAGATAAGAAAAAATACCCATAGCACTATTATTTTAATGTTAATCAGAATATTACATTCATAACCAGAATAGTTCCTCTTTATATAAGTCATTTATATTTGTTTAGGGATTTTTCTTTCATTTATTTATTCATTTAAAGTCAATTATTTTATAGTGGTGTAACATAACATTGCTATACACAGGATATGGACAAAGAATTCCTAATGTTCAAACCAGAAATATAGAAATAGGCAAACTTATTCCAATGGTTGTTTTTTACCCTCCATCATTCCTTAGTAAATACCATCTCACCAAAACTACCTAGACAATTACCTAGACAAAGGACTTTTTTACTCTCTGAGAGCTTTTCTAGTTCAGATACCCTCAAGTTCTCATAAAGTTCACATTAACATTTATATTTGAACTGACCTCCAAATGATATTTTTCAAATACAGATGGATTAATATTCTCAGTGGATCACATATAATTTTAAGGAAAGTTTAAAATATGTTTTTAATTGCTTAGAATTTTTCCAGTGTTTAAAAATCTGTAATTGGCTTTTAAAATTTAACTCTAAGATCTCTCGGTCCTTTAAAATCAAACTTGTAAAATCAAGGCTATATTGCTTTATTTTATCCTTACTGTAGGAAAATCTGCTAGTTTCTGTAGTGGCTAGTATTGTAAAAACCATGAAGATGCTTAGTATAGCAATAATACAGACAAAGGAAAAGCATCTGCTGAGCTCACTGTATTGAAATAAGCAACATGCTTCTGTCACTAAACAGAGCAATCTGGTACAAAGTTAAAAATAAATAAATCATTACTTGGCCCAAAACCTCATCTGCACAGAAAAATCCCTAATTCAAAGTCAGTACCTTCAGAGCTGTGTGATGTTGGGAAGACTAGTGCTGCATTACTCCTTGCTTCATGCCAAAATAAAGTTCAAGATTTTGTCCAGTTTCAAGCAGAGAGAGCTTCTCTTCAGTGCCTGTCTAGAAGCATCCTCTCTGTGGACTCTATTAGCATTGTGGGCATCTAGATTTGGAAGCCCTCGATTTTTAAGTCTGTCACGCGCTTTGAGTTGCCTGAAGCCAGTGATGCAAATGCTATGCTTTAGTAATATCTGCTGTAAACAGCTGCCCACCATCATAAAGAATGAAAATCCTGTGGCAAGGGCAGGGCTGTAGCCCAGTTCTCTAGGGCAGGATGCAGCTGGTTTAATCACTGGACTTTCTCTTGGTGCAGTTTCTTGCTTCATTTGCTAAACACTTCCAGCTTTTGGAATGCGAAAGTGAAAAAGGCAAAGTTCAATCAAAACTAAAGCTGAAAAGGTTCAAATGACAGTGACCATGCAGCATAGGAGACTTTTCTGGATGACCAGCATGGCACCAACCAGTGCTGCTGACGTTAGACTCCACATGGTCCAAGGGCCATATGCTTCCCTCACAATCTCTGACACCAGGATTGCCAGGGGAAGCTTTCTGTGGGGAAAGCTGAGGGACTGCAGCCTTCTCCTTTTTGCAAAAGACAGTGTCCTGCAGTCATCCTGTCAAAAGATGGAAAGAGAGCTGCCATGCACAAATTCCAGGTCTGGCTACCTTAAAAAGGTGGGTTGCACACAAATTTTTTCCTTGGTATGCAGGTCTTGGACACTACTGTTGCCAACCACTGGCAGTGACTTAGGAAACAAATCGGTAGGCCATTATGTGTTTCATGAAACTGAATCAGTATGAAATAAAATAAATAAATAAATAAATGAACCAGCATGTGTGGTGTGTATGAAGTGTGGTGAGACATAATTTTAACCTATGCCTGAATTAGATATCAGGGGTTAGACTGATTTAACTTCATTATCAGATCTGACAGAACAATATGGAAGTCACACAGAGGAAAACGAACAAACAAACAAACAAACAAAAAAACCCAGCAAAATGTTAATTTACAATGTTATTCAGAATGTGATAGTTGTGTGTGTGAAAGTATGGCAGCCCCTTGGGTCTTCCTGTTGCCTTCCCATTGGCATACATTATTAGCACACATTTTTCCATAACCATTAGCTTCTCTGCAGGTTTGGTCAGCACATTTAGGATGGTGAATACTCTGCTGTGAGAATAAAGGAGAGTCTAGAAAATGAGCAACAACCATTTCAGGCAGCATTCTCTTTTCTGTTGTGAGACTCCTGACTTTGGTTTCTTTGTTTGCTACGGTTTCAATGTTTTGATAAAGTTTTAGGGCTAAATATGCCCCTTGACACAAATGTCAGTGGTATGCTTTGGGGCTGAAATAGAAGATTTTTGCTTGTGGCTGGAAAAATTATAAATGACATTTTTCTTTCCAAGGAGGTTATTCCATTTTTTATTTTTTTTTTTTCTACAAGACAGACTGTATATGAACTAGGTTAATAGCAGCTAATTTTCCTGATATCATTATCCTTTGGGAGTATCATTTTACTACAAGTAAAATGACATATAATCCTCCCCCCCGCTACCACCATTATTTATTACCACTCTATGAATAGATCTCCTAACTTGGTTTTATTAACAAAAGATACGACTGCATATTTGGTAGTAACTCTCTTGATATCAAGGCAAAAAGCCACAAGATTAGAATCATATTTTCTCAAAAACACTTTCTAACAATAGATAGAATTCGCACCAAATAACATCTTACTAAGAATAGATGAATAATTGTGTAAAAATGCTTCATGCACAATGGAAAAAATTCCAGCAATTTTGGCTGGGAGACTACGACAATTTGTGACACACACACAGTAAAAAAAATAAAATAAAATTATACTGTCACAAACGCAGAAAAATATTTTAGTTCTACCAGGGTGCTGCTTAATTGCTTACCCCCAGGTGAGAGTTCCAAACTTTTTTTGGAATTACTTACCTTTTTAGCAGTTTCCTGCTTTTAGGTAATTGTCTATCTCCTGCATTAAAAACATAGTTGTGACTACTATCTGAGATCAAAAATTGAGCTTGTTTTTTCTTTGGAACATTGTTTTTTGAACATGCACCATCTCCTTGTAACTTGATGTGAAGGGGCACTCCAGTAATGTTTTCAAAGCTACCCCAGTGATCCTCAAAACATGGTTTCATGATATCTGCACAAAGTCTGACTGTGGGTAGATTGTAGATAGTGTGCTATGACTGCATATCATGCTGATTACTACTCTATCACACCTTCCTTATGCTCCCCTGTCCCTAGCCACACTGCTTCCTGGCTTGCCTCTTCACACTCCTCCTTCAGCTCAACAGCATCCCTAAACACCAGCCTATAATTAGTACAACTAGCAACAGGGGTTTCTTCATGCTCCTTTTTAGCATCCTCCTTGCCTTATGCCCCCACAGGGGATGTGAGAGCAGGAGCTGAGCTGCTAGCACATCACTTTGGTACTCAGTGGGTCTCCATGCTGGAATCACAGGAGCCTGACCCTGATTTAGTGAGCCTTTGCTCTGCCAAAGGAGCTTGATGTAAACATCCTCGTGCACCGCACTCAGAGAAGTTTAAAGCCTGCTGAAGACAAATGAGTACCTTTTATTGGTACATTCTCACTTAGGTGTATTTTATTTAATGCCTTTTGAATTTAATTTTGGGCTTTTCTACCCATACATTTGAAATGCTTTAATGAAATCTGTTTGTAGCAGTTCAATCAAAACATGCCAGTTTGAGTCCAGACAGGGCTACAGAATCTGTCTTCCTGCTGCACCGTACAGCTGATATGAAGGTTGAGCTCTGAGGAGGGCACACCTTAAGGACATGGCTTAATTCCCTTTTACCACTAAACACCATGGTTTTTTTTTCCATGCAAACTTCTTGGTCTTCAATATCTTCTCTCATCCTGTGTGCAAAGCATCTCTGAATTTCAAAATCTTTTAAAAGAGTCATGTCTGGAAGCAAATTTTCGCCCTGCTTCAGGGCCTTACAGCTTCAACCTTCACTTCCCGTATTGGTCACAAAATGTAGAACTGCCTCTTTAAAAACAAACAAAAAAAGTTAGTGAGTGCAGCTTGCAGTGATTTTTATGTTCTTTCACATTTTCCTGCCACACTTCCTTTATTTTTGTCTGTCATTAGGTTAATTGTAATTTCATCTGTCATTTTGTTTATCTTTTCTGTACTATGCATACCAATGGCACTGCATAAGGAACTGTTCAAGTGTGTTTATGTTAATAACAACAAACATAGAAGGGATTGTTCTATGTCAGGTGCTATCTTACAGTATCCCATTAAAAGAACAGATTTCCAGTGAACACTGAACACCTGTTTTTCACATTCTTTAGTAAATGACTAATGTTTATATACAAAGAGAAGGTGACATCAATTGCAGACTGTAGCAGCTGGTAATCACATTGCCAAACCCTCCCAAATGTTAGCCAATTAGCAAAACCAACACTTTTCTTTTCATGAATTCCAACCTTCAGCTTCATTTGCTTGCAGCTAACTCAAATATTATGTGCTGTTACATATAAGTATAGGATTACAGTCCAAAAAGCATTCTGTAGCCACTTCCCAGAACAGAGTGTGCCCTATAGACTGATAGCTAAGGTGGAGTTATCGTCAGATTTATCTCGATTGTCATCACAGAAGACTTCTCCATAGTTTATCAGAGAAAGAGGAGAAAGATCCTGTATGTAAGTGATGGGTAGCCATGTGAGATCCCTAGAGGAGGAGCAAAGCCAATTTCCTGCCTCACTGGGATGGAGGGCAGGCAGAAAGAAGGAGGAAAGGAGATACTTCCACTGTTTACAGCAGAAGAGAAATTCCAGCTTGCACATACCAAGACACAGAGGCCTGACAAGACATAATGAAATTCCTCCTGCCTCAGGAGTCCATGTCAAATTGATCTTTGAGAAGTGTTTCCATAATTACATTCCATGAGGAGAAGGTGAAAAGTATTCCTAATCTTCCCAAGAAATGTGCACGGAACATGAGAATCTGAACAAGTATTTCTATAGGGAAGAACTTTCCACTGAAATGAAAATCAGGACGGTACACTTAACACCGTCAAGATGCCTTTAGTTTAGAGGGAAACAGATTTTCCATAATCCTATCTAAGTGATGCCAGGGGCAAAGCTAGTGGCATGAGTCACAAACCACAGCCTCCAGTTTGCCTTCTCATGGTGCTGCAGGTTAAAAGCCAGCACAGAAAACCAACAGAGAAAAACCAGCTAACTGAAGGAAATCCCTTGTATTACAAGGAAACATTGAATTGCAATCTTCAGGAGTCTTTAAAAAAGCCAAATAGCCCAACAGTTTATTATGGCAGCACTGAAGTGAAAACCAATGCATTAATAATTGTCATTATATATGTGCTGATTAAAAGCAAACCCATTTAATTACTAATATGGATTGTGGGTTTTTATTTCCTGCCAGTAAGAAAAAAAAATCTTCTGAATGTGTTTACAATATTGGCCACAGTCCTACAAATTCTTTAACAAGAACTTTACTCTTTCATATCTGTGAAGCTGTTCACTCACATAGCATACACATTTTGCTGACCAACCCTTATTTGAAATTTATGAACAATGAACACAACTTTTACCTATTTCTTTGTTCTGTCTGTTGACTGGATTCAGTATTTTGTGTTACATATTTAGTCATCTTTCATATATTTGTGTTTACTGGGAGCTGTCTACATATAAGACTAAAATCTTTTCCCCAGATTAATATTCCTTAAAGTTCCTTCTTTCCATCTCAATCTGTTTTGGAATGCAGGCCTAGACTGAAAACTTTCAGCCAGGAAAAATGTTTATGCCAGTAGGCAAGGCACAACACATACCTACGTACACACAAATGCTGCCTCTTTCAGCACAGTATTGCAATTTGTTTCCAGTTTTGTAAGTCTTTATTAGAAAGAAGATTTATGGGTAATGCTTATCCAAATGAGAGCTGTCATGAGAGCATCTAAGACAAATTAGGTGTAGCCCCATTCATTTTTTCAGCAGCACTAGTCTTGCATAGCTAGTTTTTCCCCTCCGTCTTCTGTCTTGTATTACTCTATCAGCGTTACCTGCTCAGGAGTTTTCCACTCCATCTCAGTTGAGACTTCTGTTTTTCATTTGGATACAATCCTGGGAGATGGAACACTAGGGAACGTAGAGATACAGTTGTCCAATACCAACATCTAGTCAAAAAAACCTACAAGCTTCTGGTCAAAAGCAGCTGAGCACCAATCAGCCTTAAAGCTTTTGAAAAATCCCAGCCCAAGCAGTGTACAAGCAGAATGTACTATGCAATTAGCCCCCCTGCCCAGCTTGCTTAAATCAACATGAAATGACATCAACTCAAGTACCATGTAGTTAAATGGTAGAGCAAGGGCAACCTATGCCTTTGATCGTGCTGACTTCTGCCTTGTTGTGTTATCTTTGTTCTTCAATATCTAAGTGTCTGAGTTCCTCTGAATGTTTAGCGCACAGTTTTAAGTGGATGTCATATCTGACTCTTCTATCCACATAACTTAATGGTAGATATAAAAGAAGAGATAACATAAAAAATCGGGTGTTTCCTACCTTGTCAAGGCTCTTTCTAGATGCATCTGTGAGAGAAACATATTTTTAAATAACCCCCCTCCCCCCCAAAAAAAATGTCCAAAGGAATGAAGTCTTTGCCAGAAGACTCCACCGTTTGGTTTCCTGTTACTGGCATAAGAAAATTCAGTTAATGTTTTGCCTTGAAACAGAACCCAAACATCTCATCACTGCCCATCCAGGCCCTGCTCCAGTTTGGTGTTATTGACCAGATGAAAATGTGAACACCCTGAAATGTTCATGAGAGTTTTGCATGTGATACATACAGCAAGTTTCTCAGTACACAATTTTACGTTATCTGCTTTCCTAAACTGTCAGAGACAAGGCAAAACTGTGGAGTGGGGATTACCAAACAATGTTAAGCACAAGAAAAATCAAAGGGAGAAAGGAGAAAACCTCACTAACAGAAGGAAGCTGAGGTCTTCAGAAGACAAAGATTGTCTTTCTGCCTTAAAAACTGACAAAGCAAAAAGTTTTCAATAACTCTTTTTTTTTTTTTTCCCCCACTTTATTTATTTATTTATTTATTTTGGTCACAATAGTATAATTTAGACATAAAAAAGAAATTATGTGGAGTAAACATACCATTTGTAATTACATTTATCATGAGAGTGACTATCTCAGTCCAGGCTGCAGTAGACAGTGGTCTATCTTGGTGCCATACTCATCTGCAGTTTCTGGGAGAATGAAAACAGAATAAAGGTCTAAAATATATGGGACAGTGATGGTCCTATAATAGACAGAATCACACAATCACACAATCATCTAGGTTGGAAGAGACCTCCAAGATCACCTAGTCCAACTTCTGACCTAACGCTAACCAGGTCCTCCACTAAACCATATCCCTAAGCTCTACATCTAAACGTCTTTTAAAGACCTCCAGGGATGGTGACTTAACTACTTCCCTGGACAGCCCATTCCAATGCCTCACAACCCTTTCGGTAAAGAAGTTCTTCCTAAGATCCAACTTAAAACTCCCCTGGCGCAACTTAAGCCCATTCCCCCTCGTCCTGTCACCAGGCACATGGGAGAACAGGACCAACCCCCACCTCGCTACAGCCTCCTTTAAGGTACCTGTAGAGAGCAATAAGGTCACCCCTGAGCCTCCTTTTCTCCAGGCTGAACAAGCCCAGCTCCCTTAGCCGCTCCTTGTAGGACTTGTTCTCCAGGCCCCTCACCAGCTTCGTTGCCCTTCTCTGGACCCGCTCAAGCACCTCGATGTCCTTCTTGTAGCGAGGGGCCCAAAACTGAACACAGTACTCGAGGTGCGGCCTCACCAGAGCCGAGTACAGGGGGACGATCACCTCCCTAGCCCTGCTGGTCACACTGTTTCTTATGCAAGCCAGGATGCCGTTGGCCTTCTTGGCCACCTGAGCACACTGCTGGCTCATATTCAGCCGACTGTCCACCATCACTCCCAGGTCCTTCTCTGCCTGGCAGCTCTCCAACCACTCATCTCCCAGCCTGTAGCTCTGCTTGGGGTTATTGCGCCCCAGGTGCAGGACCCGGCACTTGGCCTTGTTGAACTTCATACAGTTGACCTCAGCCCATCGGTGCAGCCTGTCCAGATCCTCCTGCAGAGTCTTCCTACCCTCAAGCAGATCGACACATGCACCTAACTTGGTGTCATCTGCGAACTTACTGAGGGTGCACTCGATGCCCTCATCCAGATCATCAATAAAGATATTAAAGAGGACTGGCCCCAATACTGAGCCCTGGGGGACGCCACTGGTGGCCAGCCTCCATCTGGATTTGACTCCATTCACCACAACTCTTTGGGCCCGGCTACCCAGGCAGTTTCTAACCCAACGAAGCATACGCTAGTCCAAGCCATGAGAAGCCAGACCTGCACTTCTAGGCTTCTTTCCTGGTATAAGAAATTCAAACCTTGGAAATGTTATATTTGATTTTGCCCTGTGATAGGTACATAGCAGTACCTTCTCTTGTAATATGGAAACATATGTTTTTCAGGTAATGCTAACATGCTTTTACCATGCCATAGTTAGTATCATGCAGCACAGAACAGAGTAAGCACCCTAGGAGGTCTCCAACTCAATGCAGCGTGCCAGTATTGCATGGTTCAACAAGATTTATGGTCTCAGTCCTGTATAACTGGAGTCAGCTGAATTTCTGAAAATGATTTTCTAGAAACAGTAGAACTTTATAGTCAGTACAGTATGACAAAATTTATTGATAGGTCAGAAACATTCTGCATTGTCAGGGGAATCTTTGCTCTCCTTCTAAATTTGATCTCAAGAAACACTTTGTAAACATTGATAATAGTGATATATATATATATATATATATATAATTATGTTCAAAGGAAAAAAATACTGTTCAAGTCTTCAAAGTTTGTTGAACTATTTATTATTGTAGTGGAAAAAATATACTGAGTAAACATCACTAATATACCCTGCACCATATGCTGCAAATATTCAATGAAATTACACAAGGATTTTAAAAAAAAAAAAAGTACCTGCAAATAGATGAGTTAAATGACTAAATGACTGAATTTACAAGAAAAAGGCCTAGAGGGATGTAGAAGGTTTATCACGTATATCCCTCACTGAGATCAATTTTCCAGCACCTAAGCCATGAATATCCTGAGAAACACTTAAGAAACTTCCTCCTGGACACCCCCAGTGCTGCAGCTGTGTGCTGTCTCACCTTGCCCTGTTCATGGTATGCTCAGGGGGTGAGGGTACAATAATTCACCTGAAAAAATGCCTCTCTCTGACCTTACAGTCTGGTCTCTGTCTACTGTAGTTGCAGGCAGTGGGAGGAGGCAGACTTTTGAGGAAAATGATTAGGAGCTGGGCTTCCAGATTAGGCTCTTTCTATGAATTACAATGAGAAGTGCTCTGTCTCTTGTTATCCAGAGGAAGGCCTGGGCAACTGAACTCCTTTGAAGTGTGTGCACGTGCGTATGCGTGCGTGCATCTCTCCCTCTTCTTCTCCATCTGGTCCAAAGAAAGAGCCCCTTTCTTTCCCATGCAGACCATCTTCAAGGCCTGAAAAGGGAGAAAGAAACCGCCATAAAGGCATTTATTTGATCTCAGTGGTGCATGCTGGAAATTTAGTGCTTTATTAAAACGCCGGTTTAGCTGCCAGAGTACTAACGCGGAAGCTTAAATACACCTTCCTTCATGCAAGTCTTCGTTGCTGAGGCATAAATGAAGGCGTAGAAATTAAAATGCTGTGTTCTAGGAGAAATCTGTCTCCCGAAGAGCCGTTTAGGGCCAGGCTGGGGGCTTTTCTCTATCGCTCAGCCTCCCTCCGCGGGCCCCCGTGGGGAGCAGAGAGGAGCGGGGCTCCTTGTTCCTGGAGGGGAGCGCGGCTTGGCTCTGCTGCCCTCTGCTGCCTCTTGTACAGCACGGCCCGGCACACCTCAGCACATCGCAGCCCAACACACCACAGCACGGCACAGCACAGCATGCCACGCCACACAGCACCACACCACGGCCTAGCACACCCCACCCTACCCCTCCACAGCATCATCCCCATCCAGACCCCAGCTCTGCTACAGCATCGGCATAAGCTCCCAAATTATCTTTACTAAAAACCTAACTACGTGTCACATTAAATGTATTTATATATCTTTTTAAATGACAAGTCTTGTCTTGTTTTGCAGCCCTTTGAGCAAAACAACCCTTCTGAGCCTTCAAACTCCCTTCTTCATGAGTTATGAATGCCATAAAGCCGTGCCTGCCCTGCATCCCAAAGATGCTGTTATTGTGCCAGGTCTTCAAATCCTTCTGAAATTTTCCACAGTTGCCACATACGTAGCAGTAGCCATGAAGTTAGACAGATGAGGAAAGAGCAGTGAACTCTCAAAGCCCTTAAAGCTGGTGATTGGCAGTAAATATGCAGGTATGGACATCACCTGGCCCTTTATATATAGCACAAGGCTCATTGCAGAGCATGTCAGGGCCTCTTGAGGATTTCAGAGGCTTTTTTATTGGCAACTGAATGCTTGCAGCACCCTGGATGACTTCACAGCAATGCAGCACACCCCTTGTTTCAGCCCTGCTACAGACTGGGTGTATTTGGTGCATATTTGGGGTGACTCTTCTGATTTAGCCTTTTCAAAAATTAAGCAAGTTCACACTTACCAAAACCTCTCTGCAATGCAAAACAGTGTTGTTTATCATATGCAATGTATGTGACTTTGTATTGACCTGCATATTTAAAATAAGTTTGCCATGTTCAGAATATGTCAGGGTAATTACTCATGCATGTTGGTGCCCATCTGCTGAACTCCCAGCTAGTTTTCTTGCTGAGTCATTTGCAGGCGTGTACCCTCTCTCACAGGTTCGGTCAAAGGCAAGAAAATGGAGGGCTAAAGCTACTTATTTTTTGTAGTATTATAAAGACTGGGGTTGTGACTTGGCTGCAAAAAGAAGCTAGGCAGGTGCAACGGGCTCACAACCATACTGTCTGAGGTTCCTTGTGCTAAACAATCCTCATGTCAGCTATATCTTGGATTTTTCATAATCAATCAATAACAATATATTACTGCCAAAGACAATTTAATGAGATGCTGAGTCTGAAATGTCACCATCCATTAACTGTAATGATGTAAAGGCATTCAGTCTTTTATTGTTCTTACATGCTCACAGTATCTGACTGGAATTTAGTGAGGTCAAGCTAACATGAGGACGGGCTACAAGATACTGTACTGCAGGAGGTAGGAGGCACAACACTCTACTAGAGTACACCCAAAGCTGAATTCTCCTCCCAGTTATATAGATGTAACACCTGTGTTGCAAATGACAGAATCTGCTTACCCACGGTGTAGATATATTCAAACATGTCACGTGAAGAACTTTGATAAAAGTAATAGATAGGAAGCTAAATTTTTTTAAGGCCTAAAAACAAAATAGTGTGAGGTGCCATTCCATCCTCTGCCAACCACAGGTACCCTTCACTTTGATGTCCTATTTTCAGAGATTTCATGAACCTTCTGCTTTAAGGATACAGTTTGAAACTGACTAGCAAAACTAAAGATAAATATTTTCTCAATGAATTGTTAAAAGATCCGTGCTAGCCCTTACAGAAGTACAGCTTTGCCATGGAAAATAGCAGGGATGTGAAAGAGGCTGGTGTCAGGTTTTTGTTTCTTCTAGAAATACACAATCTTTGTCACAGACAGTCCCAGAGCAACTATCACTAATGAATACTGAATGTCATGAATAAATCCATAACTCGAATCCACAAGGAGGACAGGTTTGTGCTAAATAGGCAGAAATAATTTTCTTTTTTGTCATTTGCAAAAGCCCACATTTGGTTAGATATGATATTGGCCATGCAGAAAAAAGAAAAAAAAAAATTGCTGAAAAACACAATGCATGTGATAAAACCAACTTTAGAGAAGGAAAGGAGTGAGTTCTGGGGTCATCCAAAATGAGCAAGTTGTGTGTTTCTCACCCACAAAGATTTAATGATGCCTGAAGGTCTGTACTGAGCAAGAGCCCAAGACTTTTGTGACCAGTTAGGCCACTCCTGCTAAAGCCCCAGACTCAATAAACAAGATCCACCCACATCTCTGGAATACCCTAAAATCCAGCAGCTGCAGACAGAGCACATTTGGCTCTCAAGTGGATCCGGCCCATCACAACACACAGTGACGACTATTTTAAAAAATGCAAGCAAAGACGTTAACCACCATTTTCTGTCATAAGAGCACATTTCTTTTTCAAGTGGGTGACCTGTGTTTGAGGCCCTTCTTATCTTCAACAATGAAAGAGATTCTGTGGCTAGCACTGCTGCTGAGTCCCCAGCTGTGCAGCACAGCTTTTCTGTGTGATCCAAGCCTTGCGCTTCTTGCTGCTGGTGACCTCCATTCAGCAGAACGAACAGAGGAGGAGGATGTCCCTGGAGTTTCCAAACATTGAATACTGTGAGCTATTTTGCTCTGTGCATAAGGTTTCAGAAAGTGTTGTGGGTTTTGTTGTTGTTTTAACTCTGATTGATGAGGAACATTGAATTTTATTCCCATTCACTGTGCTGGGAACAAAGGTGTAAGAACTCAGTTTTTTGGGCCTCTAAAATTCACACATCAGGGCATATTAATGTGTGGGCATCCAAACTTGTGACTGAGACTGGCATCTAGACATTCTTCATCCTAGCCCATGTTTCTAGTAGGTAAACCAAATAAGTAGTTTCAAGAGCATGTAGCAATTATGAATTATTGCTTAATTTCACTCCAGTGGGCTGCACTGTTTGTGTTAATATTTTAATGTTGATGTTTAACCAGAAAATGATAAACTAACTTATTTAATAAACATTGAAATAGTTAGAGGAGATAGATTTGCATTAAAGGGAATGTGGCAAGGATCCATGGATGGCAGTCTCAAGTCAACAGTACCATGGTTGCATGTGAGGTTTAAAACATGAGACCAAACTATTTTAACAGGGATCTTTCTTTTTTAACATCTTTGCCTAAATTCATAAGAAGGAGACTTTCTTTCATACCTTTCATGAGCATAGAAACTCTCTCAGTCAAGATCCACTCCTTTTCAGATTTTACAACTTCCTTCTGCAAGAATCCCCAGGCTCAAGTCAGTTATTCCTCTCAATAACAACCTGCCAACCTTTCAGTCTGAAGTAGTACAATTTGGCCCATCAGAAATACCAATAATAATAATTTTTAGAAAAGAGATAATGAGCTCACATGCAATACAAGGAAAATATTGTTTGCCAAGTGATCAGAAAAGGGGATTCAGATAACTAGAATGGGCATCACAAATTACACGGTTTCTTTTTATCATACTCCTGTTACCAGCTGCTTACCTTGAGAAGGCTGAACACAGGTTAGCAGTTTTTAAGCATGTGTAACTTTTGTTAATTGGTTTCATTTTATGATGTCAGCTGATAATCTTTTCCCAGTGATGATTTGGCAAAAAGAAGCCTGTCCTAAAACAAAACTGGTATCTGTAGCTACTTGCTCACTAGTCACCCTTAATGGCATTAAATCACTGATCCTTAGTTCAGCCGTCCAGGTGTTGTATGAACAATGCAAACAATTTTCTGAGCACTTTGCAGACATGAATGCATCTCCTAGCAGCTCCTGTCTAGCCATTGCACAGAGATTAGATCACTTACCACAGGAGCTGGGTAACAGCATTTTTGTGGTTCCTAATCCAGACTTTGGTCACTAACACCAATCCGCCAAAGCAGACTGATACAAAACACTTGCGATTTGTAAAACCTTGAAAGCAGAAGCTGCTCTTGTCAATTCTATCCACTTTGCTGTAAACTGTTTCTGCTTTAGAAGAGGAAGAATTATTTTTCATTGGGACGTCTTGCTCTCGTTTACTTGCCAGCACTAAACTCATCAGGGAGAGCATTTGTAAGCTCTCTCTGAGAGCTGCGTTAACTTGGGCTTCTTCTGCTGGCTTTTCAGTAACAGAACGTGATTTCTAAAATTTTGTGCAAACAATGGATTAAAGTAGCTTTGGGGTTAAATCTTCCTGTTGCAGCATAGTTCATCAGACTGCAGTGAATGGACTGTGGTGAAGAGACAAACAAGGCTGAGAGCAACTAACATGGACATACCTTCTCAGGATGAAGACAAAGGTAGCCAAAATTAGTTGTTGGTTATACAATTACAAACCTACCTAACTCTGAAATTAATTTCCAAGCAAGACTTTGATAGGTCTAAGCAGACAAATAGTAATACAAAGACAGGAACTGCCAAGGCTCATGTGTGCTGCAAAATATGCTTCATATGTCTTATATAAATCTGCAGTCATATGCATCCTCTCCATTACCAGATGTACTGACTCTAAGCGCTCCAGGTTTGTGTTAGGTTCTCAGTCAACCATGAAATCAAAGCCCAGCTAAATTATCTCTCTGTGTAGCTTACTATTTTTGTCTTCCTTCTGAATCTGAATTTCTGAAGTAAAACTGTCCATTCTCATTTTCTGTGTGAAACACCATACCAGGTTGAATTCTTTATTTTCTGTAGCACCAGACAGATTTTATCCTCTACTATTCCCTGTCTTTGTTAAACCACCTTTCTCTTTCCCTTTCGGCTTCTCTCATCTTCATTCACATTTTCCTGTCTGGTTCACAGTCCTGTCCTCAGTGACTCACTCATCTTTCTTTTCTTACCCCTCACTAACCTTTTTCTTATAATCCTTCTATTTGCCATTCTCATATACCTCTCATGGTTTCTCCTTTGTTCCTCATATGTTCATTTATTCTTTTATCTCACTTTTAATCTTCAGTTTGCATTGGGTGTTTAGACAAGAAAAAATCTTTTTGATCTCTTAAGGCAGAGCAATGGCCATTCCAAAAAATGGTAGTTTTGGTTAAGGTCATTTTAAAAGAATTTGAGGTTTTTATTGTTGTTGTTATATTTTCTAGAAACATGATGATTTGCAAATAGAAAAAAAAAAAAGATAAAGATACTTTTGGTGGCATGGACCTCTGGATCTCATCTGCTCCAAAACCCCTGATAATTTTGGATTTAGATCAGGCTGCTCAGTCCAGATATTGATGTCTCCAAAAACTGTGTTTTTGTAACCTCTCTGGGAAGCCTATTCCAGTGCTTACCTACCCTCATGGTGAAAAGACATTCCTTTTATCTTGTCAGAATATCCTTACCGGTATCAGTTCCCTGTTACACCACCCCTGTGCACCTTAAAGAAGGGCTGGGCTCCATTTTCTCCACCAGCTTTCACCCAGAAGAGGAAAAGGGCAGCACGACTCTCTTGGCCCTCTGTTCATAGGACTGAGGACACTGCTCCACAGCCCCTCCAGGTATGCCACACTCCAGCCCACCAGCTGGGGAGCCCCTCCTGGTTTGGTATCATTCACAGCACAGAAGGCAATTTTTTGATAAGAAACGCAATTTCAGCCTCATTGGACATACAGTTAGGAGTTGGCTACCCATCAATACGGATACGTCTGATACATTTCAGTTTCCGGCACAACACTTCTATTTTCCTTGTTCACAAAAGGCATTGTATTAATAATACATATTTTTTACTAAGCAGGCCTTAAATATGTCCTTCATTTATTAAAAAATAATTTAAAAAATCCATCAATGCAATAGATTTTTTCTCTATACAGTTGCTTTTGTGCTTTACATTGTCTGACCCCTCTTCTGCGCAGATATAGCTAATCATCCAGTGACACAAGGAAATCATATAAGTTAATGGTCAAAATTACTTTAGCTTAAGTAATTCACACGAGGTTTTTTATGGGACATTGCATTACTTTATAAAAAAAATAATTCATTGTAATCAAATTAAATTATTTTATTTTAACATATTATAGGTTAAAATGTATTGTAGCTTATAATACATTACATACTTTATTTAAGATTCATTGTATATATTCACATCAGAAAATATTTTTAAAATTTAATACCAATTTTTCTACAAACTGTCTATTTTTTGTCTTAAAATGAGAAAATGTGACAGTCCTTATACAGTCACATTGCACATGAGAGCTTAGCTGTTTTAGCTTAATATTAAAGAACAATCCTGCAGGCTGCTGAATACTTACCTAAATCCCATGTGACTTCCATGATCAGACTTCTGCAAGACCCACTTTTCAGGCTCAAAGCTTAAATTCTCTTTTCACACTTAGGTTCACTTTGCTTACACCTGCTCCAGAGTACTTTGCTGCCACACAGACGATGTTTCACTGTAATAAAACAGATTCCTAAGGAACTGCTAGGTCTCCAACAAGCAAGCAATGCTTTTGTCAGGAGCAAGCTTTTCTATGCAATAATAACTTCCTTTAGACTACTGCTATTTTAATGTTCGTGTTAAAGCTTGTGAAATTTGTAGCCAAAACTCCTCCTGGAACAAGGCACAGGTGGTGCCAATGTGTTCTTTGAATGGTTTGATGGCCAGCCTTGTGGAAGAGAGAGCAGCACCTGATGGCCACCTTGGAGGCCTGGACTGAGCCGGCCTGGAGACTGGAAGCCACCAGCTTTGGTGACATTCTGCATTGGCTTCGTAACCATTTGGACTATGAGCAAATCAAGCAAAGTTTACCATGTACAGCTGCAAAATGTAACTCTCAGAATTCCTGGGCTATCACTGGAAATGAGGCTATTTATAGAGAGATGTGCTGGCAGATATAAACATTTCTCAGAAATAGCAACAAGAAGATAAAGCTTTAACACTCTTGCAGCTAATCTCATGGGTAAATTCGTGGGGTATGTGTTCTCAGTCTGCAGTCATAGAAAGACAGGATGAATTGGCATGTACTAAGCTCCTTCCTGCCAGAGGTTATTATACTAGTTAGTTTTAAACCCTTACATTAAAAAGTACAGCCGTTTCTGCAATCCCATTTTATTCATACATAGGTTTTTGTTTTGTTTCTCTCTCTCTCTCTCTTTTTTTTTTTTTTTTTTTATTCAGAGCTACACTGATCGTTGTCTGTCCTCCTCTATGTTGCAAGACAGTATTTCTGCATGAATAAGGGCAGGTTACTCCTAACAAGGTGCCATCAAACAAAGCACCCCTTATGCGTTTTCTAGTCAAGAGTCCATTGGTACATCATTTGGTTACAGTAGGCAAAATTCAAGTAAATTAGCACTGAATTTACATACATCTGTAAAACAACAAAACCCAGCAACATACAAAGCAAAGCCCAGTGCTGAGCCCAGCACTGTGACAGACTGGAGGAGAAGATGGAGGTATTGCTGGTATGCCACCCTCAGTGCTGCATGCAGGAGATGACCCCCAGCATCCTGCCCAGCCTGCTTAACGCCAGCCAGCTGGAGGTGGCTCTTCTTAGCCAAACAGGGCATGGTCTGGTGACCTCTGTGAAACCCCTCTCTTTTCTCCCTGCTTTTTCCTCTTTTCTTGTGTGACACCCTTCTTCTGCCTCTTCTCTGTTAGTAACATTACAGACAGCTTCACGCAACCAGGGGACTTCAAGCATCTCTGAGCACAGCTTCAGAAAACATGCAAAATGCAGTGGTCCAGCTGACCTATTTCGGTGCCTTCTGTGGCTCCTACCATACTAACCTTTAATGTACTTAATTCCATAACTTTTTGTGGCTACTATCTTTAGTTTACAAATAGGAATCTGTCATAAGGAATCACTATGGGCCAGATTTTACACATATTTGTAAAGCATTGAGATCCACTGCAAACAATTATTCTGAAAGCTGCAGAGGGACAGCTAGTAGGCTTTTCAGTAGGACTTCTGAAAGTCCAGTAAGTGGATGGCCACATCTTTACACTAGCAAAGCACTAGAAATGTGGCTTTAAGTGATTTGAAATTCACCCCAAGATCTAGTCCTTTTTCTTTTGACCATGGCTAGCTATTGGATATTGCACAGTTCTTCCAAGAGTATAAAGATAAGAAGCTGTTTCAGCCTGTATTTCCATCATCCTGATGACCCTGCAAAATTAAAATAATTCCAGTTCCACATATAGCTCTCGTCTTTGAAAACATTTTTTAAGGGAAAGATGAAACATATCCATATTGGCCAGTTTATTCCCATACCTTTGATGTGCTATTCAGCAGTATCACTGTTATTTCCACTCTCTTCACCAAACTGAATGTTTCATTTCCAGTTATGTTGCCTTCTGTTGTGATAAGGGATTTTTCCCATCAATTTCACAAAGCCAGCAGCTGCAATATACCTACAGCAATGGGTGCAATGCCTCTGGTTTTCAATTTCCCACATGAATCATGGAACCATAGAATCGTAGAATGACTTGGGTTGGGGGGACCTAAAGACCACCTAGATCCAACACCTGGCCATGGGCAGGGTTGCCACCCACTAGATCAGGTTGCCTAGGGCCTTGTACAACTCATTCTTGAATGCCCCAGGGATGGGGCATCTACAGCTTCTCTGGGCAACCTGTTCCAGTGCCTCACTACTCTCTGAGTGAAGAATTTCCTACTACCCTCTAATCTAAATCTCCCCTCTTTTAGTTTAAAACCATTCCCCCTTGTCCTGTCATTATCTGTCTGAGCAGATAAGTTCTTGAGTTTCACTTGGGTCCACTTCTCCAGTCTGTCCAGGTCCCTTCAGATGACATCTCTTCCTTCTGTTGTATCAACCGCACCACACAGCTTGGTGTCATCTGTAAACTTGCTGAGGGTGCACTCAATCCCACTGTCTATGTTGTTGATAAAGATATTAAACAGTACCAGTCTCAGGACAGACCCCTGAGGGACACTGCTCATCACAGGCCTCCACCTAGACATAGAGCCATTGACTACCACTCTCTGGGTAGTCACCTTCAAGCCAATTTCTCATCCACTGAATGGTCTACCCTCCAAATCCATCTCTCTCCAATTTGGAGATCAGGATGTCATGTGGGATCATGTCAAAGGCCTTATAGAAGTCCAACTAGATGACATCAGTCAGTCTTCCTATGTCAACTGATGCAGTCACTCCATCATAGAAGGCCACCAAATTGGTCAGGCAGGATTTACCCTTGGTGAAGCCATGCTGGCTGTCCCAGATCACCTCTTTGTTTTGCATGTGCCTTGTTATTGCTTCCAGGAGGATCTGTTACATGATCTTCCCAGGCACAGAGGTGGGGCTCACCAGTCACTAGTTCCCCAGCTCTTCCTTTCTACCCTTTTTAAAAATGAGAATAATGTTTCCCTTTTTCCAGTCATTGGGGATTTCACCTGACTGCCAGGACTTTTCAAATATGATGGAGAGAGGCTTGGCAACTCCATCAGGCATTTCCCTCAGGACCCTAGGATGCATGGCACTGGGCCCCATAGACTTGTACTTGTTAAGTTCCATCAGGTGGTCTTCATTTACAGCAGGAGGGACCCTCAGCCCCCACCTACAGATTCAGGGAAAGGAGAGACATAGGAGGTCTTACTGGCAATGAAGACTGTGGCAAAGAAGTTGTTGAGTACCTCAGCCTTCTCCATGTCTGTCAGTTCTTCCTTCTCTTTCGTCAGTGGGGTTACACTCTCCTTGGCCTTCCTTTTCTGAGCAATGTACCTACAGACTCCCTTCCTGTTATTCTTTGCCTCCCTTGCCAACCTCAGTTCCATCCATGCCTTGGCTTTCCTGATCCCATCCCTGCACACTCAGACAGCATCCCTGTCCTCTCCCCAGGCCACTTGTCCCTGTTTCCACTGCCTCTATGTTTCCTTCCTGTGCCTCAGTTTGACCAGCCATCCATGTTTTCTACCTTGCCAGCTTGCTTGCTTACACAGGGGGATGAAGAACTTTTGTGCTATAAGGAAAACATACTTAAAAAGTTGCCAGCTGTGTTGAGCTCCTTTGTCCCTGAGGACAGTGTTCTATGGGATCTCATCCACTGGATCTTTAAACAGGTGGAAATTTGCTCTTTGGAAGTTCAGAGTCCTGACTTTGCCCTTTGCCAGGCCAGTATTCCTTGAGATCACAAACTCAACCATGATGTGGGCCATGCAGCCCAGACTGCCTCCAATCTTAACCTCTTTAATAAGTTCATCTGTATGGGTGAGCACCAGCTCCAGTAACATTTCTCCTCTGGTTATTTTTTCTAGTACCCGGACCAGGAAGTTATCCTTCATGCACTCCAGAAGTCTCCTGTATTGCTTTCATATGCATTCTCTTCTACTTACAGTATTTTTTCTGACGGCCATTTGGGACAGACTGGGGGTACCTGGCAATATTTTGAGAATGTTAATTAAAAGCAGGACGTAACTTTTCTCAAGTGCCACTTTATTCCATAATGGGTCGGCATATTCAGCTTCCATAAAACAGCTTGCACGTCAGAAACCTTGAAGGGTGTTGGACCACTTAAAACTTACATGCTTGTTCAAAATATCATTCCAGGTATTTATCTTGTGCTTAGACCTTTCCAAATACATCCCAAGAGAAAGGGGGTAACGTGGCTTTCTGTGAACTGGATCTTAACAGTTCATACTGTACCCCATTCCAAACGTGCCAGTATTTATTGGTGTTTGTTGGTTTTATAATTTTGAGATGAGGTTAACTTAGGTTTTTGTGATTGGTGCATAGGTGCATAGGTGGTTTTGATAAAATGATTGGCAGCCAATACACTTTGAAGCACCATGCTAATTACTGAACAATGTCACCATGCAATGTAAATAGAGTAAATATCTGAGTAGTGGGAAGGGAATATGTTGGTTGAAAAATACATTTTTATGAGCTGATGCTGGATCTGACAATACAAATTTTAACAAGAATGAAAGGAATTCCAGTTCAGCTTTGAAAAAGGTATATTTTCACAGAGAACATGTCTCTTCTGGGAACCTTTAATTTAATGTACATTGGTTTCCTATTTTAAGAAAACAATTCACTGTTAAAACACTATGCCAGCTAGACTTACATTTTTAAAGCAAAAACTCTTTGTCCTGAAGTATTTTAATGGCCTAAAGAGCAGGAAATTGCCTGTGACATTTCAGTTTTTCCATTCTAAGGGAAAAATGGTCCAAGACCTAAAAATAGCTCTCTTGAAAAACACCCTCACTCTCATCATTGTAATATACCATAAGCCATGTGACAACAAAGACATTTCTTTCTGAGACTAGCATTGTTTTTAATAAACTAAAGAACTTAAAGTCAGCAATTAAAATTGTCTACATGTAAAACTGCTGATGTGAATAAAAAATTTTGTTTATTGACTTAACCCAAATAATTTTATGACCTACTTTGCAGTACAATGCCTCTTGTTCCTTCCTCTTCCTTAACATTAACTCAAATGATGTTAGTCAGAATTACATATTCACCTGGGAAGAAAATCTCAGCAGACTAGTTCTATTGGCCTGTTTTACCATTAGAAACTTTTCAGATTCTCCCACTATTTAAGCATCCATTTTTGAGAAGAGTATTTAACACATTTTGGTCTGTGGCAATAAATAGACAGGTAAGGTAAATAGTCTGCATAAAATAAGATTAGCAAAATGTTTTGTTTGATACAATAGTGCCAAGGAGTATGTTCTGCAGGTTAGAGATGGATGCCTTATCGTTGTGTCTGGATATCCAGCAGATTTGAAAGAGAGTCTGGGTATTTAGATCAGCCCCAGCAGTGCATTCAGGCATGTGAGCTAATCACAAGACACTTGTTTATTGTCAACTCAGAAAAAATAAAGCAAGGCTGGTTTGTGCATATAAACTGAGGCCAGCCTGGAGACATTCCTAGACAGGGTGGAACCCACAGAGCGAGCAGCGCTGTCACTGGAGATGCAGCAGGTCCGGGTCTGCACTGAAGCTGAAGATGTAGCTTCATGATACGATCTCTTCCATAGTGAAATTTGCTTGTTCTCGCCCCTTTTCTCTGTCCCTCAAGGCTCTGACCACACAATCCTATCTTTGCACCGCAGCTCACTGCCTGTCCTCAGTTGTGCTACTACAAATTATGGCAGGGAGGGACAGGCTACAGAGTAGCTCCCTGAAGTAATCTAGGTTGAAAATAGCCTTCCAGAAAATTTTTGCACTTTTTGAGTTTTAAATCCAAATTATTTCAGGTGTCAGATTTTGTAGGCAACCCTAAAAATAGCTGTGCAAACCCAACTGAAATGGTAACATACTGAACTACTGAAAGGTAGCTTAACTTTTTTAATTCTCTAACTAATGTATCATGAAAGTTTGCACAAAGAAACCTTGCCTCCTCTCTTGTGAAGAAACAAATACCTTACTTTACTTTTCTCCAATTACAAAATCTTAATAAATGTAAACATTCACTAGAATTTTATGAATTACACAGCCTGGGGGGATCAAGATTAGACAGACCTGATCCCATTGAAACCAATGGAAGTTTTGCCTCTACCTTATTTTCAGCTAAGATTTATTTTCTCCTATCTTTTCTTCAGGGAAGGACTGGAATTTTTAATATCCTCTTGTATTTGACTATAAACCACAAGTTGTTATATATCAAAGTGTAATCTGGACCGTGTAACTACTGATAGATGCCTGCATTAGAAACCTTGGAAGCACGGTGGGAAAGGACATCAAGAGCTTCTCCTAGATCATAGCCACAGACCTTTCTATGTCATGCACGGCAGTAATTTGTCTAAACTTATTTTTAGTAAAATGTAATTTTGAAAAAGGACACGTACCCTTAGGTAATCCGTTTCAGTGTTTGGCTAGGGATTTTTCCTCAACACCTCATCTACACATATGACCCACTGACAAATGTTTTACAATCGCATATCAGGACAGACCAACAGAATCCCTGATGGAAACAGCTGTGGCAGCAATGCAAAAAGTTGGCAGGCATGTGATGTTGTTTGTTGCTTTCTCTTTAAGCCAAGAAGAGTAAGTGTGAACCCAACACAGTCATTTAGTAAATATAAATAATAAATACAACTGGGGTTGTGTTTACATATGTGAGTTCAAAAAAAAAGTTGTGAAAACACTAAATTTCTGTTAAAGTTCAAGTTCCTTGCCAGGAAATATTGGTCTTTTATTAGTGTGGGGAAATGCTGGCATGGATACATCTTTTTTTTTTTTCTTTACAACAACAAGATAAAATCTAGTATCATTGTAAGCACTGTGGGAAGAGAAAACAGTTCTATTGACCTGCACATTTAAAAAGAAAAATGTCAATGTAGTGTAGGATGTTTAACAGACATCGAACTAGAAACAATATTGAATAAACAAAATATCAAATCATGCACCTTCACTGAAGCACCATTTGAAAGTGCTTCACAGCACTGCAACCAACCCAAAGATAAACAACTGCATCTCATCAATCACTAATGGTGAGATAGGATACCATTTCAGAAAAGATGGGCAGACCAGAGAGGGAATGAATGTGCTGTAGGGATTCTGTGTAGGAAGTCAGTAGAGCAAAGACAAGACTGTGTGGAAGATGTAGAGAATAAAAATGGAATGCTCTAACAAGATGAGGTAGTAATAAAGGACTAACTTGCTCATATCTATGTGTTTCTAATGGGTTCATTTGGGGTGAAACTTAAGGCAGAAATGAACAAGAGCAGTCTTGGGGCAAAAACAAGCAATATTAACCAGGATCCAGGGAGAAAGCAAGCAGTAGACAGAGGAGCTGCTGTAATGGTTTAAGAACTTGGACAGTTACCTTTCTTCCTACAAGTAAGAAGAGGAGAGAACTGCAAAAGGTTGAGGTGCTTGGCATTTTCTCTCTCCAAAATTTAAAGACAGCAAAAGTACTCACCATAAGTAACAACCACAAGCAATATGAATTGTCTTGCTGGCATTTTACATTTTACTCTTATGTACAAGGAAGTTACTTTTTTGTTTGTTTGCTTTACATTTTCTTTTCTTTTTTTCCTCCGAATCTATGAGAAAATGAATAATTAAAACAGTAAAAATAAATTGCTTAGATTCTTGTTGCATTTCTTTGAAATTGCAATCACTTTTTCTGGAACCTGTTTTCAGTAATCATCAGATTGTCAGCACTGTCTGCTCATCCCTCCCAACCTCTTTATTTTTGTTTGTTTGTTTCCTTTATTGATATGCTTGGGGCCTCTCTCCCTCCCTCCTATGTGAAGTTTGGTTGTGTGCACATGAGTTAGCAACTGTAGTTATTACAGTCATTACAATGAATTAAGAGAAACAGATTTTTTAGGGAGCATGTCATCTTCCAGCTACTCTAGGCATCTATTTTGGATAGATGTCTTTTTCTGTCTAGACTGTCTTTTTCTCTGCACTGACTATAAACAAAGACTAAAGTGACCGATTTAGGTACAGATGTCTGCATCAGGTTAGATGAATCATACTCGGGAAGTTGTACTGAGTATTCCCAACTACTAAGAGCACTGATTTTGGCAGCAGTTTTGTAATAACTTCTAGAAGAAGTTTCCATCTTTTGCAACACCTTTGGATTCAGTGAAGTGTCTGATGAAGAAGCATATGTTTGCAGACTTTTTGGCTCTGCCCAGGTGAGGAACTAAGAGCACACCTTGCCCACAGGCAAACATGTTGCAACATAAAATGCAAATAGCTTGGAAGAAAAACAGAAGCATTAAAGACACGGCTCTTTACATGCCCTAGAGCAAGAAGAGAGACTGGCAAGAGCTTTGTAAGACAGTTCAGCAAAGACTCATTTGAAACAACCATTTGATACAGTCATATCATATGTATTAAAAGTCTCAACTTGTCACAAAATACACTTCACTAAAAATGTCATTTAATAATGGACAAAATACTTCAGTACCAACAGGGAAGCAAGTTCACAGTAAAACACGTGTCATTCCATGTGTTTCTAACAGGACAGTTAATTCAGATTCAGCTCTTTAAATATAGTAAATACCTGAGACACACACTCACACACAAATAAGTTAATCAACAAAGTTTGTATATACAAAAGAGGGAGACTGATAAAACTTAATAATCACAGTTGCTGCTTTACAGCAGTTATCTCAAAAACGAACCTCTTGTCATATGTGACAATCAAAATGGTAGTTCAGCTGGTTTATATAACAAATTATGGTGGCTACTGTAGGATACAATTAAATTCTGCAGTTTCTTGACTATAAAATCACTTGTGCTGACAGTTATCTTTTGACTGCGCTCTTGTTCTGAAACAGCATGGGGGGATTTATCCCATCAGGATTTCATGTCTGTGTTTGTGGTTATAGGAAATCTGTAGGAGAGAGAAAAAGTCCCACTCAGCAGCAGCAAGATGACAGCTATGATCCCAATGGGAATGGCAGCACCGACTTCCTGTGCCGTGGGGCTGGAGGGCATGTAGTAAGAGGGCGGAAAAGCGATGCTCTGGTTTTGTGCTACAGAATAGAAGTTCCAGCTCACTGGAACCAGGACACACAGACCGGCAAATATGTAGAAGAAGCCACCCAGCAGGAAGAAATGAGTGATGAGAGTTTTGCGGCTGATTCCCATATAAATATTTCTCAGAGCAAATACTGTGGCTGTCAGTCCCAGCAAACCCATGACCATGGCGATCAGCAGGAGACCCTGGGCAACATAAATTTCATGGGGGATGAAGGAGTCGTAGCCACTGAATTTATGACAGAACTGTTCTTTATAGCCAGATGAGACATGAAGATAACTGATGAAGCAGACTTTCCAAATCCCCACCCACGCAATGCCAGAGGAGATTATGGTGGTGTTGTCCACATGCCACACTCTCCACTCCACAAGTCCCATGGAAATGGTGCACAGGATCCAGCCTATTGTACCCAAGGCAAAGGCAGCCAGCTGGAGGTGTGAGGTGCTGGTCAGGGAGCTCATCGTTTGGAGGTCTGCTCTAGTCTCAGACCGTGCAAAGAGAGATGGGTACTGGAAAGAAACACATCGTAAAGTTACTGATTGTGTGGATGGTGCCTCTGCTAGTGAAAAGCAGGAGGAAGTACATGTGTGGAAAGAGGCTGGTAGTCACATTTCTCTAACTGTAGCGAAGTGTTGAAGCCCATAGATAAATAATATCTAGGCTTTAATTCCATATATTTCACTGTATCACAAGCAAAGGAAAGGTAAAATAATGATTAGCTCCCAACATGACCTCTATTTTACATTCACAAAAGGAAAATACATCTTTTCCCAAGTCAACTGTTATGTTCCAAAGGCCCTCGTATGCACTGCATGCAACCAATAGCCCCGGGGGTACTGGCTAGTAGAAGGTAAATTTGAGAAAACCTTTGGGATCCTGTACTGTGAGATGCCATGAGGCAGTTGCAGAAGCCATGTGTGTCTTCCCTGACAGCTGTGGCTCCTGCACAGCAGCCCTGCTTGAAACACTTTCTGCTTTTCTGCTGCCATTTTCTAGGGCCACTGGGACCAACATTAGAAAATGTCGTAGCTCAGAGGCATGAGCAAACCCAGGCCACGAGTCTAATAACAACAACTGAACTTTGACCATTTTAGCTTATTCAGCTATGAGTGCTTTATCAGAAACACTGGAGTGAATCAGAAATGCAACGCTCTATGCAGAGGCTGGAGCCTGGGCTGTGCAGCCCTCAGTTTCCCACCCTCAGATATTAACAGAGGTTTCTGCAGCATTTTTCCTTCACAAGTCACGCTTGTTCATAACATATCTGGCTTCTCCAGCCCAAATCATCCTAAGGCTGTGGTGGAAAAGACTCTAGTCATTTCACCTAACAAAAGGCTCTAGGTTTGTTTGCTGACTCTACAGCCTGAGTGCAAGTTAAGGGTGTCATTTTTTAATGAAAAAGCCCTCTTAATTTCCCACATCTTTAATAAAGCCTTCTGAATAGCTATAGCAATGACTTGTCAGCAGAGAAAATGTGACTTTGAATTTATTATGTAGACCTGAAAGGCAGTAGGGAACTTTGTATTCCATGAGTTATCTAAAATACCTTTTTTCCTGCCTCCAGTGCATTCAAGACAGAAGAAATACTGTACCAAGTTCACTCCAGTAACAAGAAGATAGATCCGCAACTGAGTTTTGTTATTAAAACAACAACTTTTCTATTTACTTATCTTATCTTAAACTAACAAATACAAGTAGTGATACAATCTAGTTGCAAAAATCCATATGTGGAAATCCTAAATAGACAGTATCTTTACAACAACATGGGCTTAAGCAAACTTTCCATCTTCTCACACCAGTACACACTATTTACTTACTTCAGTCCTGAATCTGATGCCAGTGATAAGAGGATGGAACAGAGTGGTTTCTGACACCAGCCAGACACAGCGAAAATCTTCAGTTTTGTCATTTTGGTCTCCCAGTTCATGTATGTATTTTCAATAGGACTGGTTTCCTGCGGGACATATTAATCTCCATTATTGCAAATGTATATTTAATCTTTTCTGGTGTGGAGGAAATTGCTCCAGAATATCCTCCTATGTTTGTATCTACTTAAAATGAAACCTATTTATAAATGCTTTCTCAATCTGCTGTATTTGCAGAGTGATTTTATATATATGTGTGTGTATGTATATATACACACATATATATAAATTTGACAGTTGTTAACAGCCACAGTATGGTAGCCCTCACATGAAATTAGGAATGTCTTTTTTTTTTTTTTCCTGTCACATTTCCACATTAAAATAGTGTATTTTCTGTACCTGTCAGTTGATTCTTCGTAGTCAAAAGAAGAGAGCAATCAAAATATTTCTGCGTTGACTTCCTTCTGCTTCTGTTTAAATCAGTTGAACACACGGAGGCCAGATCTGAACCATCTTAAAATATCATTTTGGGCAGAGCTCATATTTCTGTAAGACTTTCCCTATTCATTATAAACACCCATTTAATCAATTGATTGATATCAAGGTCATAAAACACATGCAATCATGCTGCTCGGTATCACTGACAGCTGTTAAGAGTATGATGTCAGTATGTATATTTATGGGTTGAATTTGTCCACTTGTCTTCTCACAGAATTAAACAAGATGATTGTGTCCATAACTTCTGATCCCTCTATCACATGGTACATCATTTGGAATGCTTTCCAGAATTAAAATTTAAAAATCGAAAATGGGAAAAGTTTTGTTTTGTTTTGTTTTGTTTTCACTGTGATATTCACCAAATATACAGAACAAGCAAACACGTAGAATGAAAGAATTCAATGCTTACACAAAAGTTTTGTAAACAACAGAAATTAACTGGATAACAAAGTTGGAGGTCCCATGTTTCGATGAGGTACCAAATGTCTAGAAACACAAGAAGTTGCTTATGTTGGCTTACTTTCCGTACCCTCCCTACTGGAGCTTATTAGATCTAACCTGGTGGTACTGATTTAGAGAAAAATCTGTGTGGAAAAGAAGTGAAGAAGTACTTTAGAGATCAATCATGAAGTTGAATTACAGTTTTTGTACTCGCCTGTTTTGAAAAACCAGACAGAGGCCCATAGTCATCATTGCTTGTATTAGGATTAGCAAGAAGATAATGAATGAAATGTCAAGTTGGCAAGGAAGTTGCCTGACATACAAAACACATCAAAATCAAGCACAGTGATCTATTTTCTGTTTCCTGTCTCTATTATAGTGAATATTAATAAAAGCACTATAGGTTTTACTGCAATCTTCAGCTCAGAATGGGCATGCAGCACTTGCCAGAAGCACTGATTTTAAGGATAGGATTCAGAAAATAGTGTATTTAGCATCGAGTTTCTTACATAAATCAGGAGCCTGCACAGTGTCTTAGAGGAGGCACTTCTAAGCTTATCCTTCATTGCTGATTCAATATTTTAGTCTTGCCAAACCATCCAGTGTTTAACCTCGAGGTCCTGGCGCGTGGCCGTGTGCGTGACCCACCACGGCACAGCCCCTCGGGCACCCCCTGCCTTTGCTCACCCCTCTTTGGAAGCCCCCCACGGGCTCTTGGAAGCCAGACGAGCTCATTTTTTTGCGGACTTTCGAGGTGAGTGTACTGCGAGCCCTTCCAAAACTGCGGAGCTCTGGCCAAGACGGATTTTTGCTCGCAGGTCCCGAGCACAGCCCGGAGCCGCCAGCAGAGGCCGCCTCCAGCCGCGGTTGCTCCAGGACAGCCGGGGCGAGAGGCTGACAGGGGTGGCGATGGCGTAATCTGTTGACTGATCTCATGCTTTGGTAATTATATAAATGTTTGGAATTAATTCAGTTAGCAGTAGTAAGATTACCTATATGATCTGAATAACACAGTGATGTAACGTGAGCACTACCCAAAATCTCCCAAGGCAAATGAACTCATATTCGGGCAGCGACAGGGAGGTCGTCTGAATAATCAGTTGGCTTTTCCGACATGCACGTCTTGATTTGGAAGCTCACTCGGAGCTGTGGATGCCAGCATTCAGAGTTTACACGCCAGATATTTCCTGGGGTAGAGGTTGACTGCAAAGCCAGTGAGGCCAGGAGGAGCCAGGTAGGTGTACGTGCTGTGTATGTCAGTGGGCAAAAGGCAGCACTGAAGACCCTTGTCACCCAAAGAAGCAAGAGGACTGTGTTAAGAGGTGGCTTAGTTCCACCTCTTGGTGTCCCTATACATCTACATTATCATTTAAAGTAGCTTCAGCCCAATCCAACAAGCACTCCAGCAACTTCTGGGGCCATTCTTTCAGAAGTCTAGAAACAAGAGCTAAAAAAAAGAGAGCCACTTCCACAGGCTCCTCACCTGGTAGTGCCTTGCTGTCATTTTCTCTCTTGATACATCTTTCATTTTCTTAATCTGCAAGGTATTTCATTCATGGGTATATTTTTAACCAAATACCCTACTGAGTAAAAGCAAAATGTAAACTTGATAGCATTCAATGGAAATTTTCACAGGGAAGATAGAAGCTAATGAAAAAGAGGTACACATTAGTAAATTAGTCCAAATATAAAGACTTGAAGGATCCTTTCATCTTTACTGCTGCTTTTTATTTAAATCAGTACACAGTGAGTAGCTGTTGTGAAACTTGTGTTGGGCCCCTTTCTTTCAGGGACACTCTGCGACATGGCTTTCCCTCTCTTCAGTACAAGGAACAGAAGAGAATGCCTGGGAGCTGTGGCAATTTTCTTACTGCTACAGGACTTGCTTCTAGGAGAAAAATGGAGACAAGCTGCTCTCAATGGTTTCACAGAGCTTTCGGCGGGTCATCTGTGCTTCAGGCTTGCCTTTAAAAAGAACAAAATGGCATGCTGCAGCCTAAGAGGTAAAGGTCAGCTCTTTGTGGCCACGGTCCCATCTCCTGATGGTCACAGCAGTGGGAGCAAACAAATGAAGCTGCACGTCAGATTTTGTCTACACTTCTTGTATTTCCAGTAATCTCTAGTGACACAAGGCTGCAACTGTGTTCTCAGAGCAGTGAAACCTCAATGACACCTACATGCATTTCACTTCTGGAGTTAATTCTGGTCCCTGTGAAAATCTATTTTAATTACATTCAGCAGTCTGTAAGCATCAGCTGTGTCTCAGACCTACTTTATAAAAAAGATTTAAAATATCCTGAAGGTGAATAAGGAAAAGAAAAAAAAATGTCAGACATTAGCTAGCATAGTTTTTTAATGTAATTGGGCCTTTCAATGTAATTGGGCCTTTTGGGGTTACTGGGTCTCAGATCCCCTCATAGGCCAAGGGCCTGTTCCAGGGGCTCAGTGTATAGGGGGGCACAAGAGAGTGCCCCCAACCGTGAGATCACCCTCAAAACTTGTCTTTAAATGCATCCTTTCACATGATGGGGTGAGGGCCAGATGGCACTAGCTTTTTTTTGGCAGCTTTGAGGAAGTTTGCCATGTTAGCAGGGATCTTGTGGAGACTGGTGCCAGCCTGGCAGTGCACTGGGACCTCCAGCAGCAGTCTCCTTGATGAGAGGTCTTGAACCCTGATGTCTGGTGGTTAGGTTCACCCGGTGTACCCCTAATACACCCATTTTCAATTAGAAAAGACAAATTAGGAGGGCATAAAGTCTTAAAAGCCTTTGTAGAGTATTTCCAGATTTAAAACACCTTATACGCCCCCCTTCTTCCCAAATGTCCATATCCAGTGTTATGAACCCTGCTGCCTCCCCTTTCGCTTCATGCTTTAAAAAAAGCAAACTGCAGAAACTCTTCTCTTCTGTTCCACATTGAAATCTAGCTGTCTAAAAGTTCTTTGCCCATTTCAGGGAAAGATTTCCTTTGATTTGCTTTGATGGCAGGATGAAGTGAAACCAATAATTCCTACATACGCCTCACTAATTTACTTGTCTGTGGTTGATCCTACCTTAAGCTCAAAGTTAAATGAGGAAATGTTGCAGGGGCATATGGAGTGTGATGGCAGTAGGCTTGAAACGGGACCTAGCTGACCCCGTATTGTCATAGTTTTTACAGACTGCTTTGCCTTTGCCTTGAGGCTTGAAAGGAGCTCTGTTTAAAGCCTAAGTGGCACAGTTGAGGGACCACATCCAGGTCTCTGACAGACCAGGAGGATCAGGGCACTGATCATGAGCCCAGGGAATGAGAAGAAGTTGCCCAAGAGGAGTCATCCCAAAAGAACAGGAACAGATGATGCCTGTGGGAGAAATGGGGGAAACTGGGAGCACCCAGAGCATCAGCCCAGGTGCTGCACAGGCACATGGTCAGGAGGAGTGAAAGCTCCCATCACCTACGGTGCCTGAGGAACTCCCCACAAAAGGGGAGTGGGCGAGCACACAGCCTTCACACAGCAGCTCGAGTGTGAGGCTTTCTTTGTAGGCATGGGGTGGGTGGTTGAAAGGAGAGTTTTCCAAAGCAGGCAGGAAGAATCATCCTTTGCTTTTCTGTTGCTACAGTTTTTATTTTAGTGGGCTTTATTTTAGCTGTGCTATTGCTTACAAGGAACAAGCACATAAATATAATAAATATATTTATTTAAAAGGATAGACAATGTTTGCCTATCCTTGCTTCCTGGCTGCAGCACATCTGCCTGTCAAAAGACTGTTCTGCTTTAGGAATTCTGATGCACATTGTAACCACCTTGAAAAGAAAGTGCACAATAAACTCTTCCTCTATAAAATATACACAAAGTTGTTTTTCCCGGCTTGTGTAAGCGGGAATGCATTTATTTCAGTTTTTCTCATGTTTAAGCAAATATTTTAGCTTTAGACGCTGCCAGGCACCACGTGCATTTTGAAATTAACATTCAAATCCTTCTTTCCTAAAGCTTTATAGTCTAGATGCAACTTTATTGGTCTATACAGGACATAGCTTACTAACCAAAGCCTTAGTTCAATCTAAGTCTTGCAGGAAAAAGGAAGTTAAAAAGACAACGGCAACAAAAACGGTGGAGTAATTAAGAAGGTCTCTTCTTAGCAATATCCCTATGATTTAATGCTTGAAAACTTAATTCTTCAATTCCCAATTGGGAAAACATTCTTTAGAGGAAACAAATAAATATTTAAATCTCTCTCCATCTGTTCTCTATCAGCACTTCATAAAATAAGTCATATAAAGAAAGAGAAGACTTACTTCTGTGAGTCTGAGAGTTGCCTAAGGCTTTGAAGCAGTCAGCTGGATGAAGCAAGTTCCAGAAAGGAGGTGGAAAAAAATGCCCGTGCAAATTTTCTGACTTGTTGCGCTACCAAACAGGTACCTCACAGTTCCTTGTCACTCTCCCACTAAGTCAACAAAGATTTAAGGAGTCAGTTAATCATTAACATATTATAAAAATATGTAAGCTTTACCATATGCCATTTTTTCTAATTGCTCTAAAACACTTACCAATGTATAGTAGGTAACTCACATGCAAAATTCAATTTTATCTAAGACGTTCTTTCAGAAATACTGCTCTTGTGATTACAGCCTGAGTCCTCCAAGATGTCCCAGCCTGACAGCCTGAAGGACACAGAATTTTCATTTGAAAGAGAATACAGAGATTTCACAACACTTTCTTCTTTGTTAGAGTTTTTATCCAGTATTTATAAAAACAAAATTAGTGCAGCTCTGCAGTGGGGAGAAGTATAGGGGAGAAGGAGGAGGGTTTCCAAGAGTAAACTCAAGCTGAGCGGTTCTCTTGCTGGGTTGTGGTTGACTGTACCCATACTTCAATGTAAATTGTACCACACTTGGTGCCTTAGATGCTCTTTAAAATTGCTATTATTAATATTATTATTATTATTATACATATTTATATTTGCTTTCCTCTGTGGTTTTCCCATGAATCTAAATAATGCTTCTTATAAATGGTAGGAGAGTTCTTAACTGCCTTCTGGTTTCTCCTCTTTGAACCAAAGAATAAATTATGCTATTCTCTAAAAGATGCGCTCGCTCCTACAGCGGGAGGACATTTCCTGGACTGGTGATGAAAGACAAGGAAGTTTATTTCACAGGAGAAGTATCCCGTAAGAGGAAATCCTCATTGAAAAATTATTCTCATCTGTAATTAGCACCATGACTGGTTGTTACCACCACCGAGGAGGGATGCAAAGTGTCATTAAGCTGTAACTTCAATTCTCATCACCTTTAATGCAGTTCCTCTCCTCTCCTGCTGTATCTTCCAGCTGATGGAGATTCACTGGTTCCGTGTGCATGTATCTCCAGAGGCTATGGCAACACAGTCCTCTCCTGTGCAGCTCCTGGATCTGCACATCTCCTCTGTGCATGACAAGCTTGATGGTGGTGTTTTGTTGCACAGGCATGCTCTGCTACTGGCTTTGCTGTTGCATGCCAACAAGCTCGGGCACATCTAGACCCCGATGGGCTTGGTGGCATGTGTTAGACTTGAAGTACAGCTTTTTGACATTATGATGGGTCCATTGATTCAGAAGGACAGCATCCTCGGGCAGTAGGCAGCTGGGAGATAGATTCTTTTCTTTGTATTTAATAACGGTGTGAGACAAAATCTGCAGGGAAACCTATTGCTGATTTTACATGTGAAGATGTTGCACAGCAGCCTGTTTGCCTGGCCAGGCCTATGGGAGTGACAACCCCTGCGTTACTCCCAGAACAACTTTTCTTTGCCCCCAAAATTCTGCATCTCCCACATGGTTCTTCTCAGTTCCAAAAGCCTATTGTGGTGTTTAAAGATTAACCTGTACCTAAAAATTGTAATTGGCAACTGCCACCAGTGCAATGAAGTGTAAGTTAGCTGGAAACCTACAGCACTTAGCCTGTGGTAAAATAACCAGCAGCATAAACCATTACATCAGTGAGAAATGCAGTACACACCAAATAGAATGTAAGCAGGAAATGAGAGTATAAAATGTCTTTTCTCAGTACTTGATTATGACTTCTGTAGACATGTTATTCCTTTTTAGTGCATTAGTGGCAAATTATTAGGAAGCAGATGGAAATTAAATAAAGTTTCTGACTACCTTATTTAAGGGAACACATTTTACATGAGACTTCATTGTTCTTTGAATGCCAATGGTTAATACTTTCTCAGGCAGAAAGCATTTGCTTTCTTCCTCCTGTTGGCCAAGGCGCATTGAAATCAGTGGGAATATTTCTGCTGACTTCAAAGTCCTCTAGAGCAGGCCCAGTCCTTTCTGTGGTTTACAGTTTCATTGCTAAATACCACAGAACAGGAAATATTTGTTTTAAGTTATTTTTCCTTTCATTTGCCACATTTAAGAAAAAAAGTCTGAAATCAAGATGCCTTGCAAGGTACATTGCTGAACAAATGGTACCAAATAAGCAGCAGTCTTATGGGTCTCAGAGACCCATAAACAGCTTGGAGATTCAGGTACAAGCATTTTCTCATTTTTTATTTCAAGATAAACGTTACTTCTGTCAGGAAACCCAGCAGCCTTCCTGCATGCAGCTCACCAGCAGCTGATGGGTGAATTGGGGATTAGGGTTGTTGCATCCTCATTCTTTGTCACCGCTTGTTTTCTGCAGATCATCAGACAAGCATGTCTCCAAATCCAACACTGTAACCCAAGCATGAGCTCCTTAAACCACAACTCAAGTCTGAGAAGAATGTTTGCACAAACACCTTTTCTAAGTATATTCCTTTATAGCCAAACTAAATTGCCCCTTGAGACCTGGGGAATTCAGACAAGACAAACATTATCAAATGACATAACTCACATCACAAAGTGAGTTTTTTTCTTAGTCCAGCAGCAGCTTTGTATGTGTCTCTTTAAACCCAGATCACTAATATAACATCAACAGTACATTCAATAACATCAAAAAGCAGGACATTGAAAAGGTGAGGATGTACTCACAGAATGCATGATCACCTCATGGCAATCAGTGCCCGCTGTTGAGGCTCACACCATAAACAACCCACTGGACACCTACACAGCTGCTGGACACTTCAGAGCTGCTGCAGTAATAAACACCCAAAATTGAGATGGGCGTCTGAAAGGGTTAAAAACCCCTCACATTTCAATGCCTTAAGAAGGGGAAGAAAGCAGTCAGGCGAGCGGTTGTTGCACAGGCAACCCTCCAAGAGGGCAGGCTCACTGGTCCTCTGGGCCAGGTGGAGGTGGCCAGCGGTGGTGAGATGGATGGGCCACAGCAAGATCCTCCATGGGTTCCTAAACACCACCCTGGGGCACAGCATGGCAAAGGACACATGCACATGTTGGGCTTGAACTTTACTTCTAGGGAGGTTAATACTCTTATTGTGCTACTGGCATCATGTCATTGCATTTGGAGTCTTTTTTTCTCTTCCAGTTTGTGAAGTTCCCAATAAGTGTCCCAAAAGCTCAGTGTTTACCATCCTCTGTGTTCATTCTGCTTATATTTTTCTGTCCAATAAGGGTGAGATTTAAAGATGTTTTACTCTCACACTCCAGATGACTCTGACTTCATATAGGGACCTCCTATATACATGTACGTTGTCCTCAAGCAAGAGATAGCGTATTTAATGCTCATTTTAGGTAGTGGAAGCCGGGAAGCCTGTACTTCAACCATGTCCTGTTTTGCTTCCTTTCAAACAATCTTGCACAGCACTAATATCCACATCAATGGTTGAATACTTATTTACTGCTATACAAGATGTGACAGAGATCTTTCATCTACCATGGATGCTGCCAGTAGGATCCTCAGACTCTCTCTGCTGACACAAGGAACTCTTTTGTCCCTGACTTCTCCTGGATTGCCTTTACAGATGAGACTTGCAAGAACTTCCCATTAAGAAGTCTACCCTTTCAATACAGGTTAATTAAAAACAGGGGGAAAATGGAAACAACCAAAATACAGCTTCCCAGATTATGTCCAGCATGGTTAATTCAGGCATTATCTGTAATGACCAGAAAAAAATATATCCTTAAGAATGGGCTCAGTATTAGTTTTTGAAGCAAAATTCATATGCTAATTAGGGACTGAATAATTTAAAGAGGGATGATTTCACTGTGATCACAAATCAACAAGGTGCTGATAGAAAAAAAAATAGAAATTTTCTTTGTCTCAACAAGAAATTGGTATTTTTTTTTTTCTGGAGATGCAGAGCACAAAAGCTTGCATGCACAAAATGAAGGGATTCTAAAATTAGATGCACTCTTGTGGTTTGGGCAGCTTTCTGGTTATTCCCAGATACCAAAAGTAGGTCATTCAAAGCTAACAAAGACATTTTCCTGAGACTTGTTGACATTTCAGAGCTAGTAGAGAACACCACCTGATGCGAGGATGTTATCGACATGTCACACTCTGTTTTCGCTCTGCCCTGGCAGTGTTTCTGCACCGTGAAAGCATTGCAGCGTTAAGGCGCCAGCCTTTTTTCTCTTTGCTGGAGCTGCCTTTGCAGCTTGTTCTTATCAGCCATTAGAAGTCACAAGAAAATCAAATTCCAATAAGTTTCCATCAAAGGGAACGAACGTAAGATAGCAATAAGAACCTTTAGCTGGTAACGTATCATGGGGCTTTAAAGCTTTACAAAGCAACTTCCTGCTTAAATAAAAGGGCACTATTAAAGTACTGCTCTAGGAGAACAACGGTGATTTACATGTTTCATTAGCTGGTCGTGGCTATGGCCCTGGCTATGAGAGGTTCTCGTGGTATTTATTGATACTCTAAAACGGCCTTTCTGCCTTTACCCCCTCCTGTTTGCCATGACAGCTGAGCAATGATGCTGAATGACTGTGATCTTTCAACTGATCAATACCCCATTAGGACTGACACAGTAGGAAATAGATACAAAAGTTCTGGTGAAACAGAACACAAATAAGAGAGGACTATGCAGAAAGAAAGAAAAAAAAAAAATTTCTCACGAACTGCCATGTCCTCTAAAGTAGACTGCGGGCAGGGAGCAGAACAACACAGTCCTGTAAAGAGCCCGAAACTGAGGAAACTCCTTAACTACGTGAAGGGCAGCTGCTATCAAACGTGGTTTATCAGCAGCTCTGTGCCAAAGGTAAGACAGCTCTACTTACCCTTGTGCTCGTCTGTCATTTACCTGGAGTCTGGGGGAAAGACGTGTCAAAATACACTGCTTTTCCTCAGAGCACTGTGTAGTGAGTTTGCAAACTGCAAGGGAATGGAGATGAATGCCATCAGCCCTCCACCAAGGTGCCCTCCAGCACGCACAGGGGGCAGTTTCGAAAGAGGCACAGCCACCAGGAAGGGCCTGATGAAGTGAGATCAGCTTTACATTGGCCATGGGGAATGCTTTTGCAGACAGCTACGTTTGCCAGTATGGGAGCACTGGTAGAAGACTCACTGATACACAGCGCATTAT